GCAGCCCTATGGAGTAGAAGTGGAATAGGAGATCAGTGTGGACTTGCGCTTTTTCATATATATAAGTGGATGGATGAGAAATAAGCGTAGATGCACGTATTTCCAAATTTGTCCACTGACAGGACCTGGTAGCGATGACAGTACCATGGCAATGATCACAGCCTAGCACCCGGGTCTCGGTTCTAAACCAATCTCCCCTAAAATGAACCAGGACTCTTTGGGGAAATGGCTGACCTCAGGACTGGGATAGGGAAAAATCAAGAAGAGCCTGAAACATCTTGTGGTACCAGAAAAGAAGGAAGTGCTCAAAGAACCACGAGGACGTGTCAAAAGGACACAGGAGCCAGCCTGAAAGTGTTCCCACTAGCCAAATCTGGGACAACTGGAGCATCAAAATAAGTCATGATCGTTTTTAGATTGTACAACAGGAATCCATGTTCCATACCGATCTAAATATTGAATAAATAAATGGGGAAGAAGAGCAAGTGCTATCTTACAGAATGCCAATTAAATGTGGAAGCAATGGGAGAATTAGAAAAATCACCACTTGGCAATAACTGATTCAGATAAGAATCATCAATGGATGCTCAAACGAAAGAATAAAAGTTTGAGAAAGAACAGAATATTGACATAGTTTCAAAATAGCTCCCCATAAAATACCTATTTCTCATTAATTAATAAATACCTATAGTAATCATTTCACTATGGATAGGTATATCAAAACATCATGTTGTACTCTTTAAATTTATATCAAAAAAGAAAGAAAGAAAGAAAGGTGAGAAAAATATTTAGTAACTTCGCTATGAAGAAATCTTGAAGACATCATAACCAACTGTTAAAAATTAACATTACCAGTAATGGGAAAAGTTGACACTATGTGCCTCCTAACACAATGTGGAGAATAACACAGCATCACTTCTCTGGTATTCCTGCCCAAAATTCATAACCTGAATCTAATCATAAGGAAACATCAGACAAAGAGAGGGTCATTCTACAAAGTAATTGGCCTGCACTCTTCAAAATATCAAGATTATAAATAAGGAAAAAACAAAGAACTGTTCCAGATGGAGGAAAACTAAGGGGAAAACATAACTAAATGCATGCATCATCTCGAATTGGATCCTGGACCGAAGGATCCAAAGGAAAGGGTAACTATAAGGACGGTTTTGGAATAAATAGCAACATTTGAATAGGGTTTGTGGATTAAATGGTAGAATTTTATCAATATTGGTTTGCTGATTTTGACGGAAGTACTGTGGTTATGCAGGTGTGTCCTTATTTTTAAAAAATACACACACAGAAGTGTTCAGGACAAATGGGATATCACGACTGCAACTTAGTATCCAATCATCCAAGAAATAATGTACATAGAGACACAGCAGAATGGTAAATGGTAAACACAGCAGAATGTTAACAATA